AGAGAATTCGGTGGTGTGTCGATGATACGGTTACTAGTGATCACTACGGCATAGTCACCACACTATTGGATGCAGGTCCAGCCCAAAGACCACATCACATTCCTAAATGGAAAACTGACAAGGCCAACTGGTTTGCCTTCCAGGAAGGCTTGGCTCGATGTCTGAAAGACAGTGAACCCAATAACAATAATGAAAACGTGGATGTGCTAGAGGCAAGGCTAATCCAGGCCATAAACCAGGCAGCCTCACAAACCATTCCCAAAACTCGCCCATGGTCCAGAACTCACAAAGACGCCTGGTACTATAATGACGAGATCAGAGGTCAACCACAGGGTTAATATGTGTAGAAAAAACTTCCGACGGCAAAGATCTCCCGACAATCTGGCCCTGTTGAGGGAAGCTGTCGTGGATGCCAAGGAAACTGCCAACAGAGTAAGGCAGGAAAAATGGCTGGAATGGTGCCAATCTTTTGGGCACCAGACCAGCCTTACAGAGTTGTGGAAACGGGTCAGGCAAGCGACAAGCCGCCAAGCCCCGAAATGCACTCATCATGACCCACAGAGGCTAACAGATTGGTGCTTGAGTTCTCTGCCAGAACCAGCACCAACAATCTGCTTCCAATGAGAGAAAAACAAAACTTAAATCCAGAAAGACTTGCTCTCATAAGAGACAAGGCACTCGAAGCTGATGAAACAGATGCCTTGTTCTCTCTTAGGGAACTAAGAAAATCATACAAATCCAGGTCTGGGTCAGCACCGGATCTGATGGGATCTCTCACCCCATCATTTCGCATCTAGGCCTTGCAGGAGAACTTGCATTCTTGCAGGTTATCAACAAATCCTGGCAAACAGCCACGGTGCCCCAGAGCTGGAAACAAGCCACAATAGTTCCCATCCCAAAGCCAAAGGAGCCTGGCAAGTACTGTCCCATCTCTCTTCTCAGCTGCCTGGGTAAAACAGCTGAAAAGATGGTACTAAACAGGCTCCGATGGAAAACGGGTCCCCCCCATGAACACCTGCACGGGTTCACAAGGGGTAAGAGCACTGCTCATAGCATTTCCACACTCTTAAGCACAATCTGCACCTCCCCCGCCGTGGTTGCCTTCCTTGACCTGGAGAAGGCTTTTGAGTTGGCAAGTCCACTTGCCATTCAAGAGACCCTAATCCACAAAGGAGTCAAAGGCAGACTCTTGGCCTGGATAGCTGACTATTTTAAAAATAGATCAGCAAATGTCAGATTTCAAGGCCACATCTCACAGCACATGCCACTTAAAAATGGAACTCCTCAGGGAGGGGTTCTTAGTCCAGCCCTGTCTAATACCCTCATGTCCAACATACTCGACATTCACCTGCCAGAGGGATGCAAGATCATCTCTTATGCAGATGACTTGGCAATCATAGCCTCTGGCAATCACTGCCTTACTAGAGCTCAGCGTTGTCTGAACCTGGTGTCTGAAGAGTGTTGTAGGACGGGTCTAAAAATATCAGCAGCAAAATCCAAAGCAATGGCACTGAGAACCAATGTCAGAAACAAAAACCTCACTATACAGGGTATGGATCTGGAATGGGTGAAGGATTATCTATACCTTGGTGTATGGATAGGACACACACTCACTTTCAAAAAGGAGATCCAATACCTGCTTGACAGAACCAAGGAAAGACTGTCAGTCATGAAAGTCATGACAGGGAGACACATAGGAGCAAGACACAAAGTACTAAGGTCATTTTATGTACATGCTGTCCGTCCTATTATTGACTATGCATCTGTCGCCCTCATTGCTTCCAGCACAACATTAAAAGAAAAACTGGAAACAATACAAAACGAAGCAGCCAGGATAATTCTAGGTGCACCTAAGTGGACAAAGGTCATCAACCTCCTCATGGAAGCTGATTTACCGTCCATGGACACTAGAATAGATCTAATGGCAGCACAGTTCCTTTCCAAGGTCCTACAGGCACCCACAAACTCCTATCTAAGACAAAGAGTTCTCAGACGCCTACAACAAGATTACCAGTTGTTTGCAGACAATTCCTGGCTCACACATACAGCCAGAGTTTTGATACGCTTTCAACTAAAAGATTCATTGCTTGCCAAGGGTATGGACTCCCCTCACCCTGATTACAAAGAACCCCCGCTGTGGGCAAACGAAATGATCGAATTCTCAATTCTAAATCTCACAATGAGAAAAGATCAATATTCCATGCCTAGCCTAAAGGCACAAGCATAAAGGGTCATTGAACAAATAACTCCGCTGGGTAGTATAACTTACTACACGGACGGATCCGTGGATCCAATAAACCATACTGCAGGCGCCGGCTTTGCAACAAAGGATACCACAGCATCCATTAGGGTCACTGAAAATGCCTCAACGCTTCAGGCTGAAACGGTTACGATCATGGAAGCATTGACACACGTGTCCCTGAGGGGAGGGCACGTTGTCATTCATACAGATTCAAGAGCAACTATTGACAGCTTACAGCATAGCATGCCCCCAGATAACATCTACCTCTTGACAACAGTACTATACATAGCCCAAAGAATCCTTAGTCAAGGTAGAAGAATCATCATAAACTGGGTCCCAAGCCACATAGGCATACAAGGGAACGAGCTTGCTGATAAACTAGCCGAAAAGGGCAGGGGTATGCCCCCATCCTCCATGATCGTTAAACCCAGCCGAAGGGGACTGAGTCAAGGTACCAAAGCTGCAGCGTGTGCGGTCCTCCGGGGAGCACATAGAGAAAACATCACAAAATCGCTCGCTGCCAAGTGGTACTCAGATGCTTCAGGCTATGAGCCACTGGCCCTTCCTCCAAATACAAAAAGAGGTACCGATGTCATACTATTCAGACTAAGACTAGGTTACCAATGCGCTTGGCAAATTATTGACAGTGAGACTGGGAGGTTATGTAAACACTGCGGCGAGCCTAACGCCACCCTGTTACATTACTTGCAGAATTGTGTACACACACAATTTCTGAGGCAGGGACCACCCACCACAGCCGCCGGGCTGGTAAAAAGGGTGTGCAACATGCTTTCACCGTGGCAGCTGGATCGCTTGCTTGCAATCCAGCCACCGCGGTAAGCATGCAGTTCAAACAAAACATCTGAGTTAACTAGAAATAATTAACACAGGCCGGGCCACTCCAGAGAAAAGGCCCGGGCGAAGCATGACCGCAAATCTAACTGAACTGAACTGAACTGACTGAGCCTATGGCGGATACCAATCCATTGCCATACTGGTGACCCCAGAGTGACACAAATACCCAGCCTTCTGGAGTATCACGGTTATCGTTCGCTCGCTTAGCTCCCTCACTGGAAGGGGAGTACCTGTAGCCGACCCCCGCAACCTGCAGCGCAGCATACTTCCCCCAGGTTGGGTCCAGGTCCACAGCCTGTCCTCTCGCCCTCACCATCAGCAGCTTCTCGACGATGCATACCGAGACCTGATTGGTTGACCACGGACACCTTACGGCTCGCCCATTGGACCGCAGGCTCCCCTCGTTCCCGGGTAGCTTACACAGCTCAGACCCACTTAAGCTCCCGCACCCGGGCCGAGTTCAGCACTCACGATCCTCCAGCCGAGCAAGACACAGCAAGCAGCAACTAGGCCTACTAAGGCCTTAGCCGACAGGTGAGCCGTCCCGGCTCTCCCCGGTGATCTCCAGCACACCAGCCATACCTGTGGGCACTCACACCCAAAAGCTCCTTAAAGAGATGATTGACACCAGCCTATGGCGGATACCAATCCATTGCCATAACTATATCCACAACTTCAGACGTGATTTTTCCTGGCGTTTGTGGATAAGATGAAGGTACTTGGATTCTGAGGGTTATGAGGACCCTCAAATCTGATTTTGTATAAAAGAGAGGGTAAACATATTTTGATTGATGCTATGGATAAAACATTATTTCAAAGGAACATAGATGTAATTTAAGAAACCAAAATGTCTGGGGTTGCTAATTAAGACGCCTACTAATTAACGACTAATTAGCGTTTCAATTACACTTTCATTATCAACAGAAATACTTTTTGTAAAAGATAATTTTGTAATATCACTGCATAAACACCACCGAATTGCTTCACAGTGGCAGCAAAAATATGAATTTCCTGCCTAGGAATAATCTGAAGGCTTGCCGTATCCCGAAAGTAGGGGCTCGTGGTTCAGGTAGAAATGCAGAGAAAAGCAACATGCGATGGCTGTTTGTCTCTTATTCCAAATGGACATAATGGCTCAAGAGTCCGAGCCACGAAAAAACATGGGTCATGTTGAAGTTGGCCATAAACCAACATATTCATAACATATTCAGTATAAACTCTTGCATATATATAGCAATCTCATCCTTTCCCTCTCAGGCCATAGCACCGGTAGCGGGGTATAGGTTTTCGTATTGCTGTAGTACACGGCTTGAAGAAATTCAAAATGAATGCAGAAACCATGACAGACCATCGGAATCGCCGCCAGAGCATGGACTTTATAATTTTGTTGAAGGAAGCCTAAGGAATTCACATTTTTTCCACTCTTATAGAGCCTTGTTGGGTCCGTGGTAATAAATGCGCAATCCTGGACTGGGTTAAACTTATGCATATAACATTTAATAAGTAATTGTACTCTCCAAGGAACCAGTTCTGCACTTGACCAGACGGAACTGATCCCTGACAAACCCTGCGAGGAAGGGAGGTGACGGGGTGCTCTTCTCCCCCCAATTTTTGTCTAAATGTTCTTTTTTGCATTCTTTTAATAAGCAGCTGTGCTGTTTTTCGGAGGGTTTTCAATGGTAGAATAAAAAAATTTATTAAAGAATGATGATTAGGCCCTTTTCCGCTGGACCCACATCTGACAGTCCTTAAAGAGTTTTTTTTTTAATCCTCGAAAGAATAACAATATAAATTGTTTTCACAAGTCGATATGTGGGGTCACATTAACAAAAGGTTCTTGACGGTGTGTTCTGAACTTGGCATTTTGTAATGACACAAAATTGGAAATAATAAAGCAGACACGTTTCCTGTTTC